GTTTGATATTTATCAATAATATTTAAGAGTCGATCGGCTACACCTTAAAAGACAATATATTTTCCGTCTGCCGTTGTCAACTCTAAACTCAACTTTGGCAATAATAGGGTTGCCGGCGGTTGATATTTTATTATTATCCTCACGTTTTCGAGGTAACCATCCCTTTTTGATATTTGATGCTTGCCATTTGAAAAGTCAGTAAGGTTGGGCATATCCGGAATTTTTATGTTTTCCAAAACAAAAATGTGCGGTTCGTTTTGGCGCTAAATGCGAAATTGTATGCTTACAGACTAGAGATAATGCACGTTTATTTTATTTATACATTTTTTGGGGTTAAAAAGTTAAGTAGATTTGTTAGTCAGACAACATGTTTAGTAACATAATAAAAATAAATTAAAACATCGTACAATTATCATCTTTTTATTAATATTCTATGATTGACACTTAAAATTCGTGCTTTACTATTTTTCAGTAAGAATAATTATATTATATTATATTATTATATAATTTTTTTCTTTTATAAAATGGAGATATTTGACTGCTTTTTTAAATCTAATTATAAATTATACCTATTATTTAAATTTTCAGTTTGCCGAATTGAGAGAAAAGATTTGTTTAATTATATTTTCCTTGGAAAATCGGAATATAGTTTTTAATACAAAAGAAGAAGATTTGCAAATCTGTTAAAAAGGTGCATATCTTGTTACAGTGGTGCTTCCAATGAAGTCGGGTTGGTTCATGAGTTACATTCGAAATCGTTGGACCCGACGTTATTTCGCTTTAATTCCTCTCAATGGGACCGAACAAAAATCAATACAACCGAACAAAACAAATTTTGCCATTTGCTTTTTGGAGTACCATCTAATTGTTCGAACGGGTCTATTGTTTATCAAAACATATCGGTTTTGGCAGGGTTAATATTCAATTGATAAATATTAAGGGTAGAAGTACACATCTGGCGTATTTATATTTTAGGTCGGTACACCCATATTTCACGTTTGTATTTACCGGCAGTCTACATCGTCATACGTCCCGTAATATATGGCGTATACACGCGATGTGTCAGTTTTCAGCTTCGCATCTCATTCAGCCCATAACTTATAAATTAAGATGACAAATTATGGTACAATTTATTTTTTGTCGCCGCTGTCGCGCGTTGTGCAAATTTGTGCGCGCTGCCCGCCACAACTACCATTGCAAAATTTAAAAAAGGGTAGGGAAACACAATCCCGTTAAAAAAAAAACAATACGCACCCACATACACACAGAAAATAAAGGACAGCGCCTCTCACGTATAATCAATCATTCGAATATTTCGTGTTAATTATCAGTTAATTATTTCCGACTATCGCAGTTGCAAAATACTCGTTGAATTATTTATTTTTGAGTGGATGCCTCGTTTTACCAATTAGAAATTATTCAGCGGTACAACGATTCGGCGTTATACAGAGTGGGTCGGTACTGATCGATTCTTTTATATCTCCGTATGCGTTGGTTTAATCGAAATATTGGAATTACAAAAGTTATTTGTATCAAAGTGTTCGATTGTGCTACACGCACTGAGCTTAGGAATCATTTTAGAGTCTCTGATAGCGCCCATCTTTGATATTTTAATTGGAGCTTGCTTTCCTTCAGGTTTTTCTACATCTAATTTCAATAGTTTTTAAGATTTCAATTTTTTTTGGGGGACCAATGAGATAGCCAGCACTAAGAGAATATTTTTGCAACCTCCGCAGCCTTAATTTCTTGAAGCACACATGCTCCAGCCCAAAGCTTTGCCAAGTTCTCATCCTGCAGCAGCAAATGGACGTTTTAATTAGAATGACTTACTATATGTTGTAGCTAGCTGACTACTGATATATATATATATATATATATATATATATATATATATATATATATATATATATATATATATATATATATATATATATATATATATATATATATATATATATATATATATATATATATATAGTATATATATAGGATGTCCGATAAGTGTTGGACCGTTATTAGTTTTAAAATTAAAAAATAAAGGTAACTTTTGGAGAAACTCTTTTTCGAATTTTGTGTGGTTTAGACAGAAATTGAGACTATATATTTTTTATGCAAAATTATGTTCTTAGCAAACATGGTCAATTATAAACACTTATACAGCCTACTAGGGTAAAAAGTAAGTTTCATAATAATATTATTAATGAAAACTTTATTTAAATATGCGAAATCTTAATAACTTGTCCCATCATTCGTTGAAACAAGTAAAATTAAATAAAATATAAGAAAGATACGTTTAAAATAATTAACAGTCAGTATTTTCCGCCAGCGAGTTTATTCCTAAAAATTTCAAAAATCACTCGAGTTAGGTATGGTATATATATACAGTAAATCATAAGTATTTTGACAAGCTTTGTGAAAAAATAATAAAAATATAGGCGTCTCATTTAAAAAGACACCCTCTGTAATTTTAAAATATCTGGACATCTAAGATCGTTAGAAGGAAGTCTTCTAAAAATGTGTTTAAAATTTGATCAGGTAGTCACTACTGCAAGCCGTGGAAGACCATATTTACTAAGAACATAATTTTGCATAGAAAAATACATAATCTCAATTTCTGTCTAAACTACACAAATTCAAATAAGTAGTTTCTATAAAAGGTACCTTTATTTTCTAAAAATATCAAAATTTGTCCAGCATTCATCGGACATCCTGTATATATAAAAAATAAAAAAAGTAAGAATTTGATTTCAACAATAAAACTTTTGAATAAACTTTTGTTCCTGAGAAAAGGTACATGCCCCTAATAAACTAACCAACCCTGTACATAATCTTATGCTGGACACTCTGTATTCATTAGTTTATTAAAAAAATTAGTAAAGCTGAAATTTATGACCGGATGTTCTGTGGGAAGCTGCGTAAGGGAGGGTCCATTATTTGTTCTACGTGTTGTATGTGCCTTGGTATGTATAATTAGTACTTGAATAATAAACTTTATTCATTTATTGCCGATACATTTGTTAGTGTGGAAACTATTTTGCATACAACAGTATCATACAAACAACTTTTTTATTTAAACTTTTACGGAGGAACGAATGAGCAATATTGAGCTACCCCGTATATAACATCGGCTCGGAAATTTCGTTCCGCGTTTGGGTGTTTTTTTTTCGAATTGTCTTTGATTTAAAAGACGGCGAAACTCAAGCGCCATTATCGGCTTATCGGATTACAGGTACGTTCAAATCGAATCAAATCAAATCGGTCGGGAAAATTAATTGGTCGGTACCACTGCGTTGGCTGATGCGACGCGTCATAGGATCGGCGGTCCTTGTTTCCGCTATTTTACTTGTCTTTAAGCGTTTAATGAAGCAAATGATGCGGCTTCCTCGGATCACGGACACGAAAAAGGCCCGCTGGATTTCCTTTAATTAGTTTTTCTGCATTTCGCCTCTTGATACGTCTAAAGTCGAACGGCTCTCGGTTAAATTGGGAGCTTCGGTACAACCCCATTTTTTTGCCCCTTTTTTATTATTTACGGAAATATCGAATTTGGCGACCGACTTTATTGACGAGTCCAAGCCTTATCAAAAATTGAGCAATTTCACCGAAACTCCTACAAAAAGGAACGATGAAAAGGCAGCATCAATTATAACAAATTTGAATCGAATGTTATTTTTACACTTTGCCGTAAAATGAAACATGTAAAACATTGGGGCTTCAAAAAATATATCCAATATTTAGAAACATTTCATTTTTTGCTTTTAATCTGTATTTCTTCCCTAGAAATTTAGAAAATATTGGATGATGAAAGTATTTCTTTACAAAAAACAAATAGATAAAATCGGTAGATCAAGAAAACAATCGTGTAGATTGCTTAGTCTTGTTTGAATTTGGAACAGGATATGGGAAAAAGGATGCCATTCCTAAATCTTTTCCTTCCAACTTCACGCGACAATAGAAACAAAGAGATTTTAAAAAATATGTTTTAAAAGAATATAATAAAAAGCTAAGGTACGATGTCCAATAACTTGCTTTAAGGATTATTTAAACTTCAAATCGGCATCAGCATTTGAAGCATTTTTATTAGGGTTTAATTGATATTTGTCACTTTAACATATTTTACGTTTTTTATTTTATTTCATATTCTATATTTTATGAGAAAAATTGATGAGTTAAACGGCGGGATATTTTTTGTCATGATATGGGAAACAATTATGTGATTCCTAGGTCTCTCTCATCCAACTGTACACAACAATAAAAGACGGTGAAGTACTTTTTTGTGTTGAATATACATGCCAATGTATCGATTGTTATTTAATGGTAAAAAATGTAGGTCATAAAAGCATAACTAGATAATGTACCTTTAGAAATGTGCAGTATATTGTACATTATATAATGGGAAACTACGAAGCAGCAGTACTAATTATAATAATGCTTTTGTTGAATTGAAGAAAGAATATGTTATTTTTATACTTTTTATTTTATTTTATTTTATTTTTATTCTTCCTTAGAAATTTAGAAAATATCTGATAAATATGATATAAATCAGCCATAAGCATTTGAAATCTCTACATATTTTAAGCTGTAAATTTTTGATATAACTGAGACAAAAATCAAGCAACGTCCATAGATCAGGACAATACTTATGTAGGTTGCTTTGCTTCATTTCAAAAGTAGATGTAAATGAAAAAGAGCATACCATAAAAATTGTGTGGTTTCTAGTTCTTTTCCATACAACCCAACGTAACAAGAGATATAAAGAGATTAATTTTTGAAATACTATTTTTGGAAATTCACATTGCTTCGGCGATTGCTTAAAAGTGAATATTCGAACGTTTTTTTTTTCTCGAGAATGCAACTTTGTGGCATTGTGGAAGTACGATCTCCAACAACTTGGTTGAAGGTTACTTTAAACCATTCTGTTGCAAATCCGATTCAGCAAATGTGGAAACACGATGAATTGTTATTGTTAGTAAATGTAGCGCAAAAAAAACAAATGCATATATTTTTGAAAATGTGCAATATATTCGTCTTATTTTTTTTACATTTTGTGGGATGCTCTTGATACTTAACCAATAAAATAAATAAATTAATAACAGCGTTGGGCGACGTCCATTTTCACAGTTTTGGTTGGCTGTTTGTGGCTGAAGTCAGGATTGCCACCTGCATCGATTTGCTTTTTGAAGAGGTAAGCAGCCTTGGTCTTGTCGATACAAACGACGGGAATGTCTTTGCTGATGGTGCTACGCACTCTGTGTTTGCAAACCGGAACCGCGCGGGTGGTAAAGCAAAGACTTCCGTTTTCCTCTACGTAACGGTGTTGAAGTCTGGTACCACTGGATCCTTTCCTACTCTGGTCGAGGCTCTGCTTGCCTGAATCGATTTCAGAAATATAGTTGACGTACAGGGGCAATACTTTCTGTACGCATTCCTGGCTTGCACCCAAACGCTGTTGGTTCTGTCCGATCTTGTAACTTTGGATGAATTTCTGGACATCTTTCGCAACGCAATTGCTAGGAGTGAGGAAATCTTCAAACTGGTCAGCGTTGAAACGACCGCACAATCCAACAATATCGTTGCCCAATTTGTCGTTGACTGTGGTAATTCTTACGCGTTCGCCATCGTAGATCACGTAGAAGGTATCTTGGATTTCAACTTTTACTTCGCCATTTGGTAGAGCGTAGATCTGGATGTATCCCTCGTTTAAGTCGGTGCTTTGTTTGTCGTTGATTGTTACTTTCTGGCCATCGACCAAAACGGTTGCTGCAGGGTTGGAACCAGAGAATTCACCCTGACCTTCGGTAGGCTGCATGGCGATCTCCACCTGCTTTTCTTCGGTTTGAGGACTGTTGATCACGATCTTGAGTTCTTTGTGCTCCGACTGTTCACGAACCAACACGACGAAGTTTTCCATTTGTTCTTTTAGTTGTTGTTCTGCGTTGGATTGGGTGCTTTGTTGACCAAGACGTCTCGCTTGTTGCGGCACGTATTGCATCATTACGGTCCAGTCGCTTCCTAAGGAGATGGGGTAAGTCTTGTTGTTGAAAGTCTGCGTCGCAGTATGGTCGACCACGCAAGTAGCTGAAAAAACAAACCAGAACAATTTATGCGATTGATTTGCAGATTTTCATAATTTTACTTACGTCTGAAGTTCTTGAAGCCGACGGCCTTGCCGAACATACGAGATCGAAGGTGGAATACTGGATGGGGAACAACAATAGTCTGGGCCCATTCGTTCATGGGAATATCAGAAATCGTAGCTTTCTCGTGTTCGCCGGTAACTGAAATGTTCAAGTATTTCAAGTTGGGTTGGAAACGGACTTCCGCGAGGTATTGTTGATCCTGCGATTGTGCGCTTTCGAACTGGGTCATTGGGTAAAAGAACAAGCGAATGCCTCTGTATACGTCCTTGATGGGGCGAGTGATCTTCTCGTCCCAGTTTTCGGGTTTCATTTGTACTTCCATTCTGTCGAAGAAGTTGGCTTGGATGGTCAGGTTAGCGCAGGCTGGAAGGTTACGGTTGCCCTCTTGCATTTCTTGTTTGCATACTTGGTACAAAGGTTGACTCAGTAAATATTCCTTCCTCTCTGAGCTTCTGCGCATGGTAATCTTGCCTTGGACCTTCATCGATTTCGATTCGCTTGGTCCGTAAGAAATCAAATAGTTGAACTTAGCAGAAGGTTCAGTTTTCAACGCGTAAGTCAAGTCAAGACCGTTGGTGTTTGGGATTTCTCCTTGAATTTGAGCTGCAAGTTGTACCGGTTCGTCTCTTACATTGTTCTTGTAATATACTAGTCCATAGTGTTTAGGATCGACATTACTCTTAGCTAAGCCCAAAGTTAAGGAGTGTTGCCTTTGTCTATCACCTTCGAACTCAACAAGCATATCATAGGCGCGGAGATAAGCGCTATTGATTCCAGATCCAACATGTTTCATAATTTGCTTTTGCCTTTCCATGGGTTCCGCCTTAATCTGATTTAATTGGTCCAACGTGATGAACCCAGCCCTTTGCGGCATTTCCGGTTGTTTCTTGTAGGCTTTTTGAAGTCCTAACCTTAAAGTGATTTTGCGGGTGGTGGACTGACCAGGTACAAATGCGACGCTGAATTCAGATTGATGCATACATGCGTTATCCCAGAGTTGTTCCCACGCGGTTATGATGTTCTCAGATTTCCATACTCGCATCAACTCCAGCAAGTTCAAAGATTGTTCGTGGTGGTGTCCCCAAAGGCGGAACGCTAGTCCGGTGTTTTTCTCACCGAATATTTTATCGTACTGCCTTTGGTTGTTTTGCGTGATGACTTGGGTATTGGGCCTGAGTGCTGTAGGAGTGATAGTCATAACATCGCTTCTCGAGGTAAACGGCCAGGCGCTGTAGTGGAGCAATCTTTCTCCCTTAACCTTTGATGGGTCTATTTCCCATTTCGATTGCATGTTTTTAACGTCGATTTCAATCTTAGCGTTGACTGGGATGTTGAAATGGAGGTTTCGGTTAAAGCCGGAGATATATTGCTGGTGGTCGAAGGGAGTAACGAAGGACAAATGGCTTTGAACTTTACCGCTGACGATCATATTTGAGTTAACTTCGGCGGTAATGGTCTCGGGCATTTCCAATTTGTTGTTTTGGGAAAATGAAGGAGAAGCGGCTGCCTTAATATTAGCTTGAACGTTGAGTACTACAGGCATATCGTAGGCGTACAAAAATGGAAGACCCATTTCCGTGGGGAACGAGATAGCTAGTTCCTTGAGGTTGCCCAATTTGGTGTACCGTTGTTGTTTACCATTCTTCAGAGATTCTTCCAACTGGCGAATTTGTTCTGGCAATCTCTCTAGGGTGTTGTTGTCGATTGACCACAGCTTATGTAAGGATCCCATTTGAGTATAAATGAAACCTTCGAGTTGCTCCTTCTCCGGCGTTTCCAAATTCAACATACGGGCGACGTTTTCGCTCGACCATTTGTTTTGTCCACCTTGTTGGGATCGCTGGGATTTGAGTTGTTCATATTGTTCGGTTTGTTGGAACAAAACGTTCTTCAATTCCTTGATACTGGATACCATTGCTTGTACATTAACAAAGTGCTCGTTCATTCCATTGATGCGGCCTTTGACCTGATATTTCAGCGACTTGGGCAAATAGCTTTCTTCGGATCCAATGTGGTATACGTGGTGGACGTATTCCTGTTGCATTTTTTCATGCACGTAATCTTTCCAGCCGTTGTAGTTTTCTATCCCGTAAACTTTGCTAGTGAGGAGGGGTCTAGCGGATTCGGCAGCGTGACGCCTAGAACCAGGATAAATACGTTTAACAATTTTCATTAATTGATGCAAAATAAAATTTCATAACTTACAATTTTTGCAGCCGTGGGCTTCTTAACTGGCAGGCCGTTTCAATAGCAGATTTGACGGCACCGTTAACGAGTTCTTGTTTGTCAATGTTGGTGTACTCGGCCATGCTTTGCAGCATTTCAGCTGGAGGCACGGTACGGATAAGTTGGTAAACGGCGGATGCTCTGATCTCCTGAATTTCACTCGGGTTCTGGTAGATCTTGTACAGAACCGAACGAGCAGTCACGGGATACGATTCCACTAGTTTGTCCAGGGAAACTACCATCATCATACGTTGGAATTGGGAGCATTTTTGTTCCCCCTCTAAATATTTTTCGAACGACGAAAGGATATTCCTGTGTCCAATGTTCCCGAGGGCTCGGATGTAAACATGGATTTTACTCGAATCCGCTTCTTGAATGGAACGGTCCAAGCAGCTCGAAACGTAAGGGATGACCTCGTCTTTCATGAATTTCCTTCCCTGAGCGGTGTTGAAAGTTCCGAAGCTGTGGACCGGGTATTGACTGTGCGACTGGTTGGAGTTGACGTAAACACGGTTTACCAAGTCGGTAAAGGAAAGCAGAGCGGATTCGTTCAAGTGATTTTGGGAACTAACCACGGGATCTTGCACCAGTTCGAAAAATTTGCGCATGTATTCTTCGGTCGGTGTCCTTACCGAATAAGCCATCGTCGAGACAATTTCCGCAGCTTCTTCGTATTCGATTTTCTTAGATTTGATCCATTCCTGGATTGTCGAAAAGGCGGGTCCCGTGCCAGTTTCAGAGACTGCGTCACGGAATGCTATCCAGGCATCACGCTGAGGGCCTTGTTTCGATTGAGTGTACAAAGCTTGAGCGACGGAATTCAATTCAGCGGTGTCCATCAAACGGATAAGGGAGCATAGAATGGTGAATTTGCTGAGGGTCGCTTCGGTCAAGATTTTTTCGGGCTCCTGAATGTCTTGTCCGATCTCTTGGGCGATCTTTTGTACATTTTGTTTCAAGTCAAAGCTGCCGCTTTGTTTGATGGACTTTCCGTGGTATCCCATGAAGTAAGGGAGGAGAGGTAGCTCAGGGGCCGTGTTCATCCCGGGTTGGGGTTGTTGTTGGACGTATTCCTCGGAACTTTGTTGATCGGATTTGTAAAGTTTTTCGATCATTTGCCTGGCAGAACGGCGGAATCTTCCCCACGTTTGTTCTCCACTTTCTTCGCTCGATTCCAATTTGGAAAGGTGCCTGCGTTTTTGACCGCCGCTTACATGGTCGGCATCAGCGAAAGGGCTTTCGTATGAGTAGACAAGGTTTCCGATCGAAACCGGACTCGAGAGCTCTGGTGGTTGTTGGCCTTGGTTCTGTACTTTGTCCAGGGTCAAATTAACCATACTGATGACGGAACCCTTCTCTTTGTTGTCCCAGACAGGGTTGACCAAGATCTTGTTGACTGTGAGGACAGATTGTACAGTGAAGCGTGAAAGTTTTCCGGTCAAAATGGCGCGGGTCTTTGCGTTCCTAACGAAGAATTGTCCAATGCGATTGGACGTGGGTTCAGCCTCGTCGATGCTTCCAAATCCATAGTGGTAAGACGGACGGTCGTAAGCTTCGCTGTAGTTTTTGTTCTTCACAACTTCCATGATTTCACCATCCCCTTTGAGGTTAAGCTGGGGAGCTAACCAGGGTTCGCTCTGGAGTTGATATTCGGGCAAAGGGTGGATCTCGTAAGACGTTACCGTTTCGCCAGTGATCGTTTCTTCCAGGGTTTTGAAAACTCCATCGTTTCTGCCTTCGCTGGGGAAAGTGTTGATGGGATTGTAGACTGCGCGTTTTCCTTGAACGTCAAGTTGGAATTGGCTCATAATACTTTTCACAAAGTTCGCTTCCCAGTTGGTCATATCTTTCTCGACGATGACGTTGTGTAAGATGCCATCTTGGAGTTCAATTTGGAAAGGCTTCTCAGACAGCGACAATGGTTTATATGTCAACTGGGATTCTGGTACAAAGGACTTCCAGCCTCCTGGTAACTCAGAATGGATCTGGGCATATTGGGCATCGGATATTTGTCCTTGAAGCTTTCCATCGGTTCTCAGATAGATATGGAGTTTTCCTTTGATGAAAATGCCCGAGTATTGATCCGCAACCTCGTGAAGTCCAGTCAGTGTGCGTCCGTTAACCAAGTAGACATATTCGGTGTTCTCCTTAAAGGCCGGGAAAGTGGCCAGAGTACAACCCACTAAAAATGAACGCAAAAAATTTAAAAACTAATTGTAGTTTATTCCGAAGTCATAAGTGTCATAAGTCATAAGTCATACTTGTTCGTTGAAAAGTTTTATTTGCTTTGAAACATTCAATATTCTTTTTATATTCAGGATATTTTTAATAAGTATCCCATAACTCACAGGGCGATTCCTTAAGTATTTCTAAGAGAATAATTTGATATAAATAAAGGGCTTCAGGGTGTTCGATATTCTATAGAAGGGAAGAACATTACAAATTGCTAATAATCTACATTTCGAGTAACTGGTGCGTTCCTTTTTTTACTTCAAAAATATTCAGTCCAAATCCATTACGGGTGCCACTGGTATTTTTTTTAATACTTGGTGCCTAAAAATGCACTTTGATACTTAAGTGTACTTGGAACTTAGAACACCTTGTTTCTCGAAAACGAAGCTCCTGCAAGGGATATTTCGATAATTTTTTTCCTTAAAATATTTCATAAATGCTCAATTCAAATTATTAAAAAACATTGAGACATCCAAAATTATTCTAAAGCTGTTGTGTGTGTTGTGGTTGTTTCAAAATTAAGTCCAAAATATTTCAAAGAAAAAAAAAACAGCGCAATGAAGAAAAATACATAAAAATAAAATATATTGGACTTACCAAGGGCAAACAAGACGATTGCAGACCTCATGATGAACTGTACTATTAGTTCTTCACAGGTCTTGTGAATGTAGGTTTGCACAAAATGGTAAAGTATTTATACCAATTACTTTGCTGATATTTGCTGTTTTGAATAAAAATTGTTAGATAATGGACGCAGTTGCATGTTGCGTTTGTCGGATACAAATTAAATGTTTATCAGACATACGGACGTTCCTTAGAAACCGCGCCGTCGAAATTGAAAAGAAATCCCTAAGGGCATATTTGGATAGTCTTGAAATGTTTTTAATTTTTTAATTAATTTTTTTAAAATTTTATTTTTAGAATTCAAAATTTTAAGGATTTACATTATATATTTTCCATTGTTATTGAAAGTGTCGATTATAAATAAGACTTCTTTCGTTCTAATAATAATAACCCTTAATAAATGCTAATTACTTAATTCACTCTTTTAAAAATTTTGTATATTTGTGGTTCCTAAGATATGGTGAGAAAAAAAATCGATACCATCCTATCAAATACTTTTGGAGGCAGTGCAGGCAGTAATTGTCTTTCAAAATATTTTAAAATGCATTACGCTCCTCTACAAGTCATAACTTTCTTATATTTGCTTATATAAGCATTAATTTCACTTTTATTTTTACCTAAAAAGCTGCTTGTAAGTTTTGAAATAATCGATAGATGTGATTTTCAATGGGAAAATTTGATATAGATGCTAATTATGCAAATACTTACAGCAAAAACTAACCAAAACTATTATTATTATTATTTTATATAATTTGAACAAATAGAATTGTTTATTTATTTTTTTTAAATTCTAATAAATCACTTTAACTGTTATTTAACAAAAATAAAATTTTTAAAAATAAAAGAGCAACTTCAATATTAAAGGCGACTTAAATTGTTGATTTTGTATGGTGCTATTTTATGTAATAAAATTTTTAAAAAGCCACACGGGCGTCTTCACAATTGAATAATAATAATAATAATAAACGGTTGTTATTCTATTTCTCAAAATAATACATAAAAAAAATATAAAAAATATCAATTTAAAGAATAAACCGTCGGGCTGTGGGCATCTATATTTGACACAAATATATTGTTGCGGCGTTACTGTAACTAAAGGAATTTAGTTGTCGCATGTCGTTTTAATAATCAATAAACTATAAATGTGAGAATCGACCGATCAAAACCAAAAATTTATTTATTAAGAAATAAAGGAGCCAGTTAAAAAAGTATCTTCTTAATGGGTTGGTTCTTACGTTCTGGAAACAATTAAGTTCAATATAAATGTCGTTGACGAATCTGATTCCGAAAAATTTTAGTTTTTTATGAATGCACAAATCGTAAACTCTACTGGGATAGTCCCTGGTGCCTATGGATTAAAAAATAAATCTCGGGCACTTGTATTGGACATTTTGTGTTTTTCGTTTGTTAAAAACACTTAGAAATCGGCCACATATTTAGTCGCAATAATTAAGAGTGTGATCAAAGAATCGCTAGCCTTAATATTGAAGAAATGTTTATAGCGTTAAAGAGACCTTAAAATAGAATAAGCCTTTAGACCCAAACTTTCTTTTATGAATGCTCAAAATTTGTATTATTAATAATTATTATAATTAGTTAAAATAATTATATTAAAATCGACTGACGGAATCTATTATTACACATTCGATCTCCAAAAACGGAAAAGTGTGGCGTTTATCGGCTGATAAATGCGCGTGCAGTTTTGCCTATTTGCAAATATAGATTACATTTTTCATTCAAGTTATTCGCTATCGACGCCTGTTAAAACTAAATTTGTTACAATGTATATCTTGCAGATAACAATTCATTCACTAATATTTCAATGCGAAATGATAATTTTAATTGATGTAAAACGATATCGTTTAATTCTGATGAAACGGCATTCGCTTTCTGCATATACATTTTCGAGGTTATCTGGTTGCACAAATAATTAAATTAGGTTCTTAATATTTTTATCCAGCGTTAAAATAAATTAATCGGGCCTGAATGTATACATCTGCGTGAGATTTTCCCCATGTTTGTTGATCTCACAGTCCGGTATACATTTTTAACGGTTTAATCCATCTCGGGGAAAGAAATCCTTGCCAGTTGTTTTGAACGGGTTCTATTTTGGAATATTTAGACTTTCGGCTACAATCTCGTAACTGGAAACATTCCAATTTTTTTTGTGTCATTAATGTTATTTACTTAGGCCTAAAAAATTATTATTTCTCAAGCTCAAGCTCAAGCCGGGTGGCGTCATAGCGTGTGATTTTCCATTAATGGCCGGTAAGCTGATTGCCGATCTCATTGTTTACATCTGGATTAATTCGCGTCATTTCCGGCCATTTAACCGTCCATTATAGAAGAATGGGCTCGATATAGCCTTAAATATTCGCTGATGCGATGGCAAACGTGCCAAAAAAAAAATAAGAATCATAATACTAAAGGTTTCAATTTGCTACCAATACAAAAACATACACATACAAGAGTAACTACGTTCTTCTGGAAAAATGCCGTTGACAAACATGGCCCCTGTATTAAATCTCAAGCGAACAATATAATCGAATAAATACAATTTATAAAGAGGAGCGATCCTTATCCACGGTCACATGGAGGTTAAGTAATTTTCAAATCCCTTTTAAAACTACTGTTAGATTTAGTTTTACGAGAATCCTGAACTTAATTATAAATTATTGACAGCTTATCTCAAATCTTGGAAGTGAACATTTCTACGAAATAATATGGGCATTGTTTTATGAAAAAGGCAGACAAAGGATACATTTCTACTATGTATGTGTGTATCCGTTAAAGGTGTCAATAATAATAATAATAAAAAAATATATTTTATCATAATAACACTATGGAATCAAAATACAATAAACTCCGTTTATAATGTACATCGGATATAACGTACTTCCGGATGTTTTTGGTCCGGCCAAAATACTCTTGATGTTTCATCGGATATTGCGTACCATATATAATTTCTACTGAGATTATAAAGTAAAATATGTTCACTATTGTTCTGGTTATAAAGTGCGAGTGTACGCTAAAACCAGATTATTGAGCGGTTGTTCCCCGGGGATTTTTCAGTAATCATTTGCGAGGTTTTCTCTTTTTTTTTTGAGTTTATGGTTAAAATGGAGGATCGGCACAAGTCTTTAACTGTAAAAAAAGATAGAGTATTTCGAAGATTCCAAAATATTGCAATAAGTGGTCCAGTTCTGAAATCGAAAGCCGAAGAATTAGCCAGGGGATTACATGGTGACGATTTTAGTTGTTCTACAGGTTGGCTCGGACGTTTTAAAGTTCGTCACAACATAAACGTCGGAAAAATTTCTGGTGACGCAGGAAACAAGCTGTGCTGAACTTTTTAGAGGATAAGTGGACCAGTACAAAATTACAGCTCTGAGGCTATTTTACAAGATGACTCCAGATCGTACCCTTAAATTTAGAGGAGAAAAGTGTTTGGGTGGGAAGCAGTCGAGCAAAGCTACACCGTTTGAGTTTGTGCAAAGATGATAGAAAGCGAAAAGTGCAAACTTCTTATTATTGGTAAATATGAACGAAATGAAAAATGTCTGTCATTTATAAGTCAAACCAGCGAGCGTGGATGACTAAAGCAATTTTTTATAATTATTTAAAGGATTGGGATGAAAAACTAAAACCTCAGAATAGAAAAAAATGGCTTCTGGTTGACGATTAGGCAGCTCATCTAAAAAATCTAATCCTTTCAAATATCAGATTAGTTTTTGCCTCCAAACAGCACCTCAGTCGTCCAACCAATGGATCAGAGCATAATAAAATGCCTTAACACATATTATCCCGGATACTTTTTGTATCGTTTGATCCAGTCATTTGAAAATAAGGAACCTTTCAATATCACTATCCCAGACTTTCACAATGTCGGAATGATTTTACTTCAACCACTATTTTAAACTGCTTTCGACATGCAGGTCTGATGAAATCGGAAGATGAGTTTGATTCAGACGATGACGACTCAACTCTGGTTTTATATAAAATAAAAATATAGCGGACTTCCGCTTATCGAGTAATCATTTTCTGGTCCCTTAAGGGTAGTTTATAACCGCAGTTTACTGTAATCATCATAATACTAATAAAACTAACCATATTTAATACATAATTTTCTTCAATATAATTGACAAGATTGAAACATGGAAGTAAACCTTTAGTAATAAAATGTACACAATTTTTTGCATATTTTTCTTAAAGATATTTGTGTACCCTATAAAGCAAATTTAGTTTTTATGTATTACTTATTAGATTAACATTACAATTACAATAGACATTATAATAGAGCAGATGTATTACGGACAAAAATCATTATTAAGATAAGAGCAGTTAACAAAAATGAGGTAAATAAAACTAGGAGTTATACTCTTAACGTCACGAGCGATGACGTAGCATCGGTGCATTATAAAAAGAAAAAAAGCAACTTAATAGACCAAAATCAAACCCTAAATGTAGTTCCGCGGACTAAACGGGATCAATGAGAGGTTATTTCAATATTTAAATTATTTGAGGTCATTTCCATAAAACAAGTCAGGCACCATTTTAATATACGAGTAACCGCCTACCTGAAGCACAAATTTAACTTCATTAAAGCAACCGCTGAAAATAAATTAAGGGCTAAATTTAATAAAAAGTAACTTCGGAAAACGCCAGACCACTTAATTCATATTTGGCGTAAAAGTTTGCGCGCGCATTTGCAGTAATATTAATCACACGTGTGTCCTGAACGCGCGGTTCAAAATAGTTGAGAGTTTTATGATATATCCGCAACTTTTCAACACCCATAAATGAACGTGAGCAAACCTCCCTCCTCCCACCCGCCGTCCCCAAAACGTGCTAACGACACACCCTTTTTTATCGGCGAAAAGGAATGATTTAACGTCGAGAGTGATCGAAAGCCATTGTTCGAAAGTCGGGTGGCAATTTTTTACGTGAATTTCCCTAAATAAGTATTGCCCAACCAATCCCAATCACAATTAAATATACAGGATGTTTTTTATTAAACTATCTAAACTCCGGGTGAGAATTGACACTTTTATGAGGCAACTCTATTTTCAAATAGTAACTGGTCACAATTTTTTAAAA